CAGCCCTGCTCTGTGGGTGACAGGGGGCGGCGCCCCAACCCCCTGATCCACCCTGCTCTGTGTGTGACAGGGAGCGGTGCCCCAACTCCCCTATTGGCCCTACTCTGTGAGTGACAGGGGGGAGCTCCTCAACCCCCTGATGGGCCCTGCTCTGTGCGTGAAAGGGGGGAGCTCCCCAACCCCCTGATCGACCCTGCTCTGTGTGTGACAGGGTATGGAGCCCCAACCCCCCTGATGGGCCCTGCTCTGTGCGTGACAGGGGGTGGCGCCACAACCTCCCCATCGACCCTGCCTTGAGTGTGACAGGGGGCGGTGCCCCTGAGCGTGACTGAGGGTGGCATTGCAACATCCCAATCCGCCCTGCTCTGTGCATGACAGGGGGCGGCGCCCCAACTCCCCAATCGGCCCTGCTCTGAGCCTGACCAGGGGCTGCACCTAGGGATTGGGCCTGCCCTCTGCCACCCGGGAGCAGGCCTAAGCCAGCAGGGCGTTATCTCCTCAGGGGTCCCAGACTGCGAGAGGGCACAGGCCGGGCTGAGGGACCCCCCCTTCCCCCCCGAGTGCACAAATTTTTGTGCACCGGGCTTCTAGTCCTATATAATAAAAGCCTAATATGCCAAGTGTCTGGTTGTCCAGTCGTCTGTTCAACCAATCAAAGCATAATCCTATCTAATAAAAGAGAAACATGGTAATTGGCGTACGACTGCTACCCTTCACATTGGCTAATTAGCAAGATATGCAAATTAACTGTCAGCCAAGATGGCGGCCGGCAGCCAGGCAGCTTGAAACTAACATGAGGATTGCTTGCTTCAGTGACGGAGGACTCCAACGTTCCCCGCCTGCCTTGCCGGCCTCTGAGCTTGCAGTTTAAGAAACATTGTAACAAATATAGAAGCTAAACAAAACCCCAGAAACCTGCTTTCAGGGAGCCAGGGATCTCAGAGCTGGAGTTATACATTGTTTCGATTATAGAACCGAAACAAACCAGAGGCCTCAGTGCTGGAGCCTCAGAGCTGGAGCCAGAGCTAAAGCTGGCCCAGAATAAATAAAAGAAAAAAAGGAGCAGTTGGGAGCTTCAGTCACCGGCCAGCCTGAAAACAGCCCTTATCCCCTCACCCAGGCTGGCCAGGCACCCCAGTGGGGACCCCCATGCTGATCCAGGACACCCTTCAGGGCAAACCAGCCAGCCCCACCCATGCACCAGGCCTCTATTCTATATAGTAAAAGGGTAATATGCCTCCCAGCACTGGAATCAGCGTGACAGGGGGCAGCGCCCAAACCCCCTGATAGCCCTGCGGCTCTGTGTGTGACAGGGGGTGGGGCCACAACCTCCCTATCCGCCCTGCTCTGTTCATGACAGGGGAAGGCGCCCCAACCCCTGATCAGTCCTGCTCTGTGCCTGATAGGGGGGAGCTCCCCAACCCCCTGATTGCCCTGCGGCTCTGTGTGTGACAGGGTGTGGTGCCTCAACCCCCTGATCGGCCCTGCTCTGTGTGTGACAGGGTAGAGCCATAACCTCCCCATCGGCCCTGCCCTGAGTGTGACAGTGGCGGCACCCCAACCCCCTGATCCGCCCTGCCCTCAGTGTGACAGGGGGCAGTGCCCCAACTCCCCTATTGGCCCTACTCTGTGAGTGACAGGGGGGAGCTCCTCAACCCCCTGATCGGCCCTGCTCTGTGCATGACAGGGTACGGAGCCCCAACCCCCTTGATGGGCCCTGCTCTGTGCGTGACAGGGGGTGGCGCCGCAACCTCACCATCGACCCTGCCTTGAGTGTGACGGGGGCGGTGCCCCAACCCCCCAATTGGCCCTACCCTGAGCGTGACTGAGGGTGGCATCGCAACCTCCCAATCTGCCCTGCTCTGTGCATGACAGTGGAAGGCGCCCCAACTCCCTAATAGGCCCTGCTCTGAGCCCGACCAGGGGCTGCACCTAGGGATTGGGCCTGCCCTCTGCCACCCGGGAGCAGGCCTAAGCCAGCAGGGTGTTATCTCCCGAGGGGTCCCAGACTGCGAGAGGGCACAGGCCGGGCTGAGCAACCTCCCCCTTCCCCCCCAAGTGCACAAATTTTTGTGCACGGGGCCTCTAGTATGCTAATAATATGCTAAGGCCACTCAACCACTCGCTGTGACATGCACTGACCACCAGGGGGCAGACAATCGACTGGTCAACCAGTCGCTATGATGCACACTGACCACCAGGGGGCAGACCTTCTTACCAGTAAGTTAGCTTGCTGCTGGGGTCCGGCGGATCTGGACTGAGCGAGATGGGCTGGACATACCCTAGAGTCCTCTTGCTGGCCAACCTCCCCTGCTCCTCCCCGGCCTCAATTGTGCACCAGTGGGGTCCCTCGGCCTGGCCTGCACCCTCTTGCAATCCAGGACCCCTCGAGGGATGTCAAAGACCCAGTTTTGGCTTGATCCCACAGGCCAGGCCAAGGGACCCCACTGGTGCATGAATTCGTGCACTGGTCCTCTAGTATTGTAATAACTATATATAGTGTCAGGTGCATACTGAAAATATTGGAAGGAACACTTTGCAGAGTATATGATTGTCTAACCACTATGCTGTACACCTGAAATGAATATAAATACTAAAATAATATTGAATATATTGAGAATTTTTGTAAAAACAAACACACCTGCACATGCTTCTTCCATCCCCAGCCCTCAGGACACACCTGGACTCAGGAGGGATCAGAGAGCTTGAGTGATCAAGAAGGTCCCCCACCATTTCTGCCACTGCGCCTGCAATTCTGCCAAAAGCTTTATCCCTCTGGGTTGAAGCCTTAATAGGAACCAGTGTAGTAAGGCAATTCAGTACAGGGGCTCTGGACTCTGTTATTCCTGAATCTTCAATCCTGGTCTGACCCCAAGCAAGTCACTTAACTTTTCTGGGAGCTTGGTTTCTTTATTTTTTTAAAAGACTATTTTTAGAACAGTTTTAAGTTCACAGCAAAATTGAGAGGAAGGTACAGGGAATTCCCCTATTGCCCTGCCTCCACACATGCACAGCCTTCCCTATTATCAACCCCCACCCCAGAGAGGCGCATTCATTACCTACCATCAATGAACCTACATGGACACACCTAAGGTTTGTAGTTTACGTCAGGGTTCATGCTTGGTGTTGTACATTCTATGGGTTTGGGAAAATGGGTAATGACATGTATCTACCATTATCATATCCTACAAAATACTTTCAGTGCCCTAAAAATCCTCTGTGCCCGTCCCTCTCTCCCCCCACCACCTGGCAACTACTGGTCCTTCTGCTGCCTCCATCGTTTGCCTTTGCATGTCATATAGTCAGAATCGTGTAGTATTTGCCTTTTCAGGCTGCTTCTTTCACATAGTCAGGCATTAATGTTTACCTATGTCTTTTCATGGATTGATAGCTCACTTCTTATCACTGAAAAATATTCCATTGTCTGTATGGATCAGAGTTTACTGCCTTAGTTTTTAAAACTATTTTTGACTTAGAAATTATTTTAGAGAGAAGGGAGAGGGCGAGGGGGAGGGAGAGAGACAGACAGACATCAGTGTGGGAGAGGAGCATCTAACAGCCACCACCCATTCAGGCCCCAGCCAGGGATGGAAGCTGAAGCGCGGGTATGTGCCCTGACCGGGAGTCCAATACTCTCTTCGGTGCATGGGACAACGCTCAACCGATTGGGCCACATAGGCCGGGGCTGCTGCCTTATTCTTTTTTTCTTTTTTTAATATACTTTTATTGATTTCAGAGAGGAAGGGAGAGGCAAAGAGAGAGACCTAGAAACACCAATGATGAGAGAGGATCGTTGAGTGGCTGCCTCCTGCATGCCCCCTACTGGGGACCAATCCTGAAACCCTGGGCATGCGCCCTTGACCGGAATCAAACCAGGGACCCTTCAGTCCACAGGCTGCTGCTCTATCTATTGAGCCAAACCAGCCAGGGCGTATCGCCTTATTCTTAAAACTAGAATTAACTACAGATACACTCACACGCAGCCAAACGCACACAGTTATTCAACTCATTTGCAGAGACTGACACCTGCGAACAACCTAAACGCCCCTCAGTAGAGGCCTGGCCGAGCGACTCCCGGCTCACCACGCCCCCAACACTACGCAGCTGAGCAAAAGCAAGACTCGCACCTCCCGTGCGCCCCGCACATCGGTCTCCAGAACCAGGACTAGTCCAACAAGCAAAGTGCAGAACAGTGTGTGGGGAAGGCAGTTCCACTGTGTATGCGAAACAAAAGGGAGCAATAATGCTTACAGTGCTCGCTCGTATGCAAGGACCACCGGCAGGCCCCCCACGAGGCCGAGGCTGCCCCAGGAAGGGGCCGAGGGGAGGCCTGGGGAGGGGACTTCGCATTGCATGTACTCTTCACATTGTTTGATTTTGGCATGTGTATTATCTATATTCTTAAAGTAATGAAATTATTATTTTAAAAAGATTTTAAACCCGCAAATGCCGGGGACAATAAGAGCCCCACCTCACAGGGCTGTGAGGACCTGGGGGATGGAGCAGGGCTGGCCCACGGTGACTGCCGTCAGCGGGCACTGTCACTGACACTGAGGCCGTCCCTGGATGGGGACATGACGGTGTGGCCCCTTGCTACTCAGTGTGGCCTGTGGGCCTGCAGTGTCAGCATCGCCCAGGAGCTGGCTAGAAACGACCCCCCCACCCCCCACCACTGAGTCAGAACCGCATTTTAACAAGGCCCCTGGGGACTCATGCACACATGCGAGTTCTGGAAGTGCTGGTGTAGACAGTGGGGAAAGCCAAGTGACACTTGCTGGGGGGGGCCCCAAAGGAGGGCTGGGAGTCCCGATGGGCAGCTCTAACCCCAAATTTCCCACATCCTCGTTGGCTTGGGCCCTGCCAGGCCTGGGTTCCTGGACTGAGAACCCGGTGGGCCCCTCCTGCTCACCCCTACACTTGGGCCCACCCTCGGGGTGAAGCCTGACAGTGGCCGGGGCGCCTCTCACCTTCATGCCGGCCACGTCGATGCGGGTCCTCACCTGGAAGTGGGCGCCCACCTGGATGACCCTGGGCACGCAGTAGAGCAGCATGTTGTTGAACTGCAGGAGACACAGCACGGGCGTGTGCAGTGGGGGCGGGAGACCGCCAGGGTCCCTGCCCCTCTGGCCACACTCTGGGCCAGCTCTCAGGATGTCACGCGTGGGGAGGGAGGGGTTGTCTGGCCCCGAATCCAACTAGGGCAGTGATGGCGAACCTTTTGAGCTTGGCGTGTCAGCATTTCGAAAAACCCTAACTTAACTCTGGTGCCGTGTCACATATAGAAATTTTTTGATCTTTGCAACCATAGTAAAACAAACATTTATATTTTTGATATTTATTTTATATATTTAAATGCCATTTAACAAAGAAAAATCAACCAAAAAAATGAGTTTGCGTGTCACCTCTGACACACGTGTCATAGGTTCACCATCACTGAACTAGGATGTCACTGCAGGGCTGCCCTGCCAGGGGGCATCCAGGGGCCACGGCAGAGCTCGGAAACCTGGGAGGCCTTTCCCAGGGCTTAGGGGGAGCCCAAGCTCCCCAAGCTCTCCCAAGCTCATGTGCGAGAGGCAGGGGCTCCCTGCACCCTGCCCACTAGGCAGGACCAGCTCCCGGTCTCCGGTGCCAGCCAGGCAGTTCCTCCTAGGAGCTAACCTAAACGCCCTGCTGTGCCGCCTAGAGCACAGATCACACCACGGGCTTCGGAGCCAAAGGGGCTGGGTTCAGATGCCGACGCTGTGGCTCCCCGGGGCGTGTCTGGGACACCCCGCAGCTGGGAACCCCTAGGCCCGGAGGCGGCACTTGTCCGGAGGCCGCTGGTGCCACAGCAGCAGACGGGTCAGCAGGCTCTTCCCTGCTCCTCCCGCGGGTAGTGCCGAGAGCCTGGGCAGGCCCCGCGGTGTGACACCCCGCCTCCCCTACCAGGAAAAGGTAGCGCTCCGTGGGGTCCCTGCGGCGGAAGGAGATCTTGAGCACGGGGCCCTCGCGGAGCAGGGCGTTGGAGGGGTCCACGATGTCGTCCTCCAGGCCCAGGCGCTGGTACACTTCCCACAGGTCCTGCAGCCGCTCCTGGGGACGGTGTGCCCTCAGTCACGCGCAGGGCCCACCTCCTTCTGGGACAGGGGGTGAGGGGGCGAGGGGTGAGGGACCAGGGATGGGCGGGTGCAGAGACCTGGGTGGGCTGGGGAGGCTGAGAGCTGCAGGAAGGAGCAGGCAGGGCCCCAGGGGACCCCCGCCCCCTCCCCTGAGGACAGGGCTGCTCACCATCTCCTTGATGGCTGCGTTGGAGTGTTGTGCGGCTGAGAAGATCAAGTCGAGGGCTTCTGGGGGGCAGGACAGAACTAGAGTTATCCCCTGAAAATCCGGCTGGAGGCTGAGGCAGGGCCCTGAGCTGGTGATGGGGGCCACTTCCCTCCAGGCTGGAGAGCTGGGAGCCACCGCAGGACGGGGCTCAGGCCGCCGGCGTCTGTCTCCCACTGCTCCCCAGACCCAGGGGGCACTGGAAAGGCCTGGCTTCAAAGCCCCACTCTGCCCCTTTCTGGCTGCGTGCCATCGAGCAAGTCACTTAACCTCTCAGGACCTCAATGTCCTTGCCTGCAAAATATGGCTAGTGGGTCCTGGCCAGTGTGGCAAGGTGGTTAGAGCATCGGCACTCACACCGAAGGGCCGCGGGTTTGATTCTCGGTCAAGGGCATGTACCTGGGTCGCAGGTTCAATCCCGCACCCCGGGTCGGGGCATGTGCGAGAGGCAACCCATCCATGTGTCTCTCTCACATTGATGTTTCTCTCTCTCTCCCCCTCCCTACCTCCCTTCCACTCTCTCTAAAAATCAATGGGAAAATATCCTCGGGTGAGAGTTAACAACAACAAAAAGTCGCTAATGGTATATAGATAATGTCTACCAAGTACCCACGGTCCAGGTTGATGGCTGATGCTATTACAACATTTTAGCAGGTGCTCAGTGACTATATGGGAGCAGCGCGGCCTCCCCATCCCTGGGTGCCCCGGGCGTGTCCTCACTCTGGGCATCAGCCCGGTCCGGGGCCTGGGCTGGCAGCTTCTGGACGTACTCCTTGAGCAGCAGCTCGTAGCGTGGGACTCTCTGCACAGGTTCCAGCATGTGGTGCTGCAGGCTCAGGCTGCCCGAGGCCTCCCTGCTCTTGGGGAGGGATAAGGGGAGGAAGAGTGTGGGGTGAGAGCGGGAGGGGCGAGGGAATCGAGGGAAGGCTGAGCCTGGGAGGTGCCCCAGATCGCTGGGGAAACGCAGCCACTGCGCCCAAGGGTGGCATGCAGGCTCTGCCCCGCCCCCACCCAAGCTCACCTGAATTCGAGTGAGAATCTCCTGGAAGCGGGGAGACTTGTCAGTCCAGGTGGCCAGCAGCTCCGCGGCTCGCTCAAAGTTCTTGACATACTCACTGTACATCTTCAGGAAGGGGGCCAGTTTCTGGATCACATCCCCGATGCGGGGGGTGGCTGACCTGCGGGAGGGGCGCCCAGTATGGCCCTCGGCCTGAGGACCTCCTGTCCCTCCGGGCAGGTAGGTGAGGCCCGGGCCCTGACCCGCCAAAGCAGCCTTCCCACTGCACTTCTGGGTGCAGTCATGGGACGTGTCATCCCACACTTATGTGACGGGGGGCATGTTCTCTCCCACAGACTGGGCTCCCCCAAAGGCCAGCACCGGCCGAGCCCCAGGACAGGTGTTCAGTACCCACTGGGTACTTGTTCCTGTGACAGTAACGAGGGCCACGTGCCAGGCACTGCCCTCCTCCTCTCATTCAGTCTCACAGCCCTGCTTGGAGGAGGACATAGAGACCCAGGGGAAGAACTCGTCCAGGGTCGCCCGTGGAAGGGCCTGAAGGCCATGCAACCCAGGAACTTTAAGAGCAGAGCAGCCCTAGACGGTTTGGCTCACTGGATAGAGCGTCGGCCTGGGGTCTGAAGGGTCCCAGGTTCGATTCCCCTCAAGGGCATGTACCTTGGTTGTGGGCACATCCCCAAGAGGGGGTGTGCAGGAGGCAGCTGGTCGATGCTTCCCTCTCATTGATGTTTCTAACTCTCTATCCCTTTCCCTTCCTCTCTGTAAAAAATCAATAAAATATATATATATATATTTTTTTTTATTTTTATTTTTATTTATTTATTTATTTTTTAAAGCAGAGCAGTCGGGAGCTGGCCCATCTGCGTGTGATTCCCAGCTGCGTCTCTTAGTCTAGCTGCCTCTTTTCTAGCTGAGTTTCATGGGCAAGTCAACTAGCCTCTCTATAGCTCAGTTTTCCCATCTGGAAAAGTGAAAATGATGGCAGGTGACCTTGGAGGGTTGACTTTAAAAATACGTATAAAGTCAAAAGAATATAACAATGAACTACATATTCATCACTGGATTGAACAATCACTAACATCCTTCTTTGCTGAAGAATCTTAAAGGACATCCCAGACATTGTGGCATTTCTTTGGCAAAATACATAAAGCAAGCAATTTTACCACCAAATACTTGAGTGGTCACTTCTGAAAACAAAGAGGGTTTCTTGCATAACTACGATGCCCCCATCACACAGGGGCTGATCTGAAGATTAAATGAGTGAACAGGTAGAAAGCCCCGGCCGGGCATGGAGGAAGGTTAGTCCCGCCTCCTAAGTCACCCAGCCTAGTGAGGACCTGGTCCATCCCTTCCCAGGACACACACCCAGGGCTCATTCATCCAAGCCCCTCACTGTGCAGACAGTCAGCGCAGAGCAGGAGACCGTCATGGCCACACAGCCAGGGCCCTGGGGGCAGCACCCCGACCAGGCCCCGGGGCTATGGTCGGGGGACGGGGGGCTCCTGGTGGACCTCACCAGTCATCCAGCCGCCGCTGGAGCTCTGGGAGGAAGAACTGCGCGTGGAACTGGTAGATGGAGGAGATGTTGGAGAAGATGAGCCGGACCACGTCCTCGGGGAAGGCCTTGCTGCTACGGGCCTCCTCCAGCAGCTCCTGGAAGAAGACCTGCAGCCGCCACAGGGTCAGGGGGCCCGCGCAGAGAGGGAGCCCCCGGCAGCCCGGGGGGACACGCACGGCCCCAGGTCCAGCTCCCGCTTACTGAGTGCTCTCACCTCCCTAACCCCCCGCATGCTCCCAACAACCCCAGGCAACACAGGCAGGGAAGACTGTATTCCGGCCACTTTACAGATGGGCAAACCCTGGCCTGGGGACTCGTGGACGTGGCCAAAGGCAGGCGGCTGATGAATGTCAGGAATGGGCCAGTCTGGGCTGTCGGGGTCTTAGACTTTGCCAGCCTAAAGGTGCCTCTACTGGGGTGCAGTGATTGGACCCCCTCGCCTTGGGCTCTTTAAGAAAGTGTGAAGGGATGATAGGTGAGGATGTTTGCCTTGGGGTGAGGGTGCTGTGGGGGCCTGGGAGGACTGGCTGGTGTGTACTCGGCACAGGTGAGGCTCCAGGCACCAAGGTGGGAGTGGGGAGTGGCGCTTATGGGCTGTCCTGGTTTCTGCCTGCTCCAGCCAGCAGGGTTAGAGGACTCGGGCCTCCTAGAATCAGGTTGAGGTGTCCTAACTCTCAGCTCTGGTGAGGTGGGTCAGGAGGGAGAGCAAAAGTGAGGTGAGGAGACCAGGTGCTCGGGCTCAGGTGTGGGTGTCCTAGCCACTGGCCTGGTCCAGCAGGTGCAGACGGGCCACGTAGGCCTGCTCGGTCTCCAGCAGCTCCTGAACGATCCTCTTCTCGGGCTCCTGCAGGGGGTGTGGAGGGAGAAGGAGAGGGACAGCTTTGGTCTCCTCTGATGGGCACCTGGGGCATTGTCTTTAAAGATGCCCCGGTGAAACACACCTCCTGGCATTCATGCCCTTCCAGTACTCATACCCTCAGTGCATCTGGAGGTCTGGTGGCCCTGGCGGAGAAACCCATGGGGAGGAGAAGCCCTGATATTCTACGGACAGAGCCAGGGGCCACCATGCCACATCCCAGCTGAGCCCAGCCTCTGGCTAGGCACCAGGCTAGAGGGTTGAGCTTTGGGGGCATTCTAGCTCCAGCTACCATCTGCCTGCAGCCACATGAGAGACCCTGCCATGGACGAAGTCGTGTCCCTCTCAAATTTATATGTTGAAGCCCTAACCCAGTGATGGCGAACCTATGACACGCGTGTCAGAGGTGACACGCGAACTCATTTTTTTGGCATTTAAATATATAAATGGCATTTAAATATATAAAATAAATATAAAAAATATAAATCTTTGTTTTACTATGGTTGCAAATATCAAAAAATTTCTATATGTGACACGGCACCAGAGTTCAGTTAGGGTTTTTCAAAATGTTGACATGCCGAGCTCAAAAGGTTCACCACCACTGGCCTAACCTCTAAGGTGACTGTTTAGAGCTAGGGCCTTTCGGGAGGTAGTTGAGGTGAACTGAAGGCACCAGGGCAGGGCCCTCATCCACTGGTGCTGGATAGGAAGAGGAAGCCGCACAGGAAAGCAGTGCGCAGAGAAGAGGCCATGCGAGGACACGGCAAGAAGACAGCCACCTGCAAGCCCAGGAGAGAGGCCTCACCAGAAACCAGCCCGGCGGCACCTTGACCTTGGACTTCCAGCTCCAGAATTGTGGGAAAATACGTTTCTGTCCTTTCAGTCACCCAGGCTGTGGTACTGTGTTATGGCAGCCTGGGGTGACTAGGACAAACCCCAAGCGAGACCAATAGAAGAACCACCCAGTAGTGCTCCAGGCAACCCACAGAATTGTAAGGAAGAATAAACTCTTCGGCAACGGCGTGTTGGGTGGTTTGTTATGTGGCGATTAATAACCAGACGTACTATTGTGATCATCATCTCCGTTTGCAAGGGGGGAAACTAAGGTGCAGGGAGGTTGAGAGGACTTGCCCCAGGTCGCACAGTTAGCAAGCAGAAGAGGAGGGAGTGAGCCTGGGCAGTCTGGCCCCAGGGCCAAGCATCTTGCAGCCTCGCCTTTGAACTGCACAGACGAGGACCCTGAAACCCAGAGAAAGGAGGTGACCTTCCCGGATCAGTCTAAGGACAGGAATTAGCACTGACCTCTGCTTCTAGATGGGATTGTTGCCTCCTTCAGTGGGTAAACTGAGGCCCCACTGGGAAGGGTACCTGGTTTACAAGATGGAGACTGTTCCTTGGACAAGCCCCTTAAGCCAGTGGTTCTCAACCTATGGGTCGCGACCCCTTTGGCAGTCGAACGACCCTTTCACAGGGGTCGCCTAAGACCATCCTGCATATCAGATATTTACATGACGATTCATAACAGTAGCAACATTACAGTTATGAAGTAGCAACGAAAATAATCATATGGTTGGGGGTCACCACAACATGAGGAACCGTATTAAAGGGTCGCGGCATTAGGAAGGTTGAGAACCACTTAGGCTTAAGCTGTCTGAGCTTGGCTGTCTTGGTCTGACAGACGCCTGCACAGAGGGGTACGTGAAATCCCAGCAGCGGGGTACACGCTGGACACTTAATCAAAAGCCTTTAACTGGGAGGGGCTCGCTTCCAGCTGGGGAAGTGCTTGGCAAAGGACCTCTGGCGCTGGCTGGGAGAGACTGTGTGGGGCGGGGGTCAGTGGAGGGGATCCCAGCTCCCCACTTCTACCCCAGCCCCCAGGCACCTGTGTCCCTGGCTCGGGGCAGCTGCTGAGCTGGCAAGATTTCCTCCAGGCCCCACTGGACAGCTTGTTCTTCAGGGAGCTCAGGTACCTCCTGCTGACCGTCCTGGGCCCGGACTCCAGGGCCTCCCCGGCGCTGGGCTTCTCCCCCGGGCCCTCGGGTGGGGGAGACCTGCACCCGGCATGGTGGGCCCCGGGCGCTGCTCCTGGTGCCCTGCGGAGAAAGCACACCTGAGGGTACCTGTCTGTAGAGCGGGGGTGGGGGTGGGTGGGGGGGGAACAGCACCTGCGGGCAGTAGGTGGGCAGTAGGGGTGGGTGATGCAAATCACAGGGGTGCGGTGGCCCCTGGGGGCCTGGCCCTCAGGAGGAGTCGCTAAGTAAACATCCACTTCCCTCCCAGCTCTCTCCGAGGGAACTCCAGTCTTCAGAATGAGTCAGCGTGAACTGCGTACTTCCCTGTTTAACATGCAGCCAGGAGGCCTCTCCCCGCTGTGCAGGGAGATGCTGGGAGCTGACACAGCGATCCTGCAACCACGCGCGCAGACCTAAGTTAGAAGTCAGTGCTGGGGGTGTCCAGATGGGGATGTGAGAGGACCCTTCAGACCAAATCTGCACACAGACCTAGACAACAATCCCACACGTGAAACAACTTCCTCCAAAAAGCCCTGAGCAGCAGCCGCTGACACCTGGCCGCCTTCGCACTAGGGCCAGGGGTCGGCAAACTCATTGGTCAGCAGAGCCAAATATCAACAGCACAGCGACTGAAATTTCTTTTGAGAGCCACATTTTTTAAACTTAAACTATAGAGGTAGGTACATTGTTATTAACTTAATCAGGGTACTCCTCAGGCTTAGGAAGAGCCACACTCACGGGGCCAAAGAGCCGCATGTGGCTGGCGAGCCGCAGTTTGCCGACCACGGCATTAGGCGAACGAGGGAAGGCCCACACTTAACAGGGAGGAGGGACGGGACACGGTCTCGCCACAGAACCCACTCCCGGCACCGCCCACAGTCTGGAGGAGTCAAACCAGAGCTGCTCCCCAAGGAGCGAAGATCTGAACCCCACATCCTGCCCTCCCAACATTTAAGACCTGTACCTGGGAACAGCCCCCGCCCCCCCCCCCCCATGCAGCCAGGAACCCCGCCTGCACACAGAGGTTTGAGTGCCCCAACCCTCCGCTGCCAATCACCCTCCCTGTGCACCTCCCCTGTGCCTCCAGCGGGGGACGTGGAGAAGGCCGGTCTGAGCAGCTTCCCTGGGCTCCCAGCGATGGGGTTCGGAGGGCAGCTTGGTCACCCTGCCTACCGGGTCTGCAGGCCATTAAACTCTTTAGGTAACAGAGGCCACCTCCCTGTATAGCCAATGACGTGGGTGGGACCTACTGCCTTTGCTGTGGGAAGGCTTGGATGACAGCACAGACAGGCATCCTAGGAGGAAGACAGGCTGGGAAGTGGACACCAGCCAGGTATGAAATCTCCAACGTTCTCGGAGAAAGCGTTCCATTACCCCCTTTCCAGCTGAGGCAGAGGGGATCATCTCTCAGCGAGGGGGTGGCAGAGGTGGGATTCCGATCAGGCGGGCTGGCTCCTGAGCCTTCCTCCCAACTGCCCCTCCCCACCTGAGTCGAGGAGAAATAGGTCCAGAGAGGACCGGCCCCAGTCACACAGCTGGTTCGTAGCAGAGAGGGGATCGGGACCGGCCCCAGTCACACAGCTGGTTCGTAGCAGAGAGGGGATCGGGACCGGCCCAAGTCACACAGCTGGTTCGTAGCAGAGCGGGGATCGGGACCGGCCTCCGACGGCCCCTCACGGGCTCCTCCACCGCTCGGTGCCCAGTGCCCGGTTCCCCAGGCCGCGGGGCTGCAGCTCATGGAAGCAGCCGGGCCTCGGGCTTTCTGTTCCACATGTGGCTCCAGCTTCTGCATTTCTCTCTGCGTGCCCCAGGCCAGCTGGTTTCCTCTTCACCCCTCAGTTTCAGATCAGCTAACGCCTGGAGACCTCACCAGAAAGCCCGGGCCCAGGTGGCGGGCATGGGGGCACCTGCCTCACACAGTAAGGGTGATGTTCACCCCCCACAGGGCCTCCTCTGACCGAATTCTGGTCTGAGGGCTGCCTCCTCCTGCTAGGGGTGTTGCTGGGCAGAACACACGTGCTGAAGGTCTCCACTGGGCGTGCCTGGGGCACTGGGTGGGGTGATGCCCTCTCCCCACACCCAAGGGGCTGGTGGGCCCAGCAGGTGGCTGCAGAGCTGTCCTCGGTGCTGAAATGCTTGGCAAAGGACCCTGGCAGAGGCAGGGCCAGTCACCGGCTCTGGGAGTGGAGCTGTCCTCTGGGGCCCCGTCTGGGCCACTCTGCCAGGCAGGCCAGGAGGCTCTGTGTGCTCAGCGCCCTCCCGGGATATCTATTGTCTCGGAGCCTAGCATCGAAGACAAAAGTCTCTAGGCAGGAGTCATTCTTTAGCCCCCACGTCTGCTGGCTCCTGGGGGTGCTGGGCTGTGCCACCCACAGCCCCTCAGGGCAGAGGCACCATTCCCGCAGCTGCCAGCAATGGCCCCGGCCCCAGAAGAGAGCTGCCTCACCCAAGGTCAAGTCCACACCAGTGATTAGTCCCCCTTGCCTCAGCGGGAACAGCCTGAGAGGCACCCAGTTCCGCACTCCCTGGGATGGGACGGGCCTCTGCCCCACACATGTCCCCAGAGATCCCCGAAGGAAACCTCCACCTCAGAGTCTATCTCCCGAGGACTCAGCATGACAGTCCCTAGCACAGACCCTGACAAGCCTGCAGCGTGGATTAATGTCACGCACACACACACAGGCACACATACACAGGCACACACACACATGCACACACCTACACGTGCACCACCCCTGCCAGGGCCGCCGATGACCTCCACACACGTGACTTGGCCCTTTCCCCTTCAGACAGAAGCCCCTGCACTGCCCTTTTCCCATGAACTTAAAGCCTCCTCACCTCTCTGTGCCTTTATTTTCTCATCTGTAGATAGAAATAGAACCTCCCCTGTTAGGCTGTTAGATGAGTAATGAGGTAAAAAAAACATTTAGCGCCCTGCAGGTGAGCCGACCCTACACCCCAGTCGTGCGATACAATCCCAGCTTTTCCTACCGCCCCGCCCCACCCGGACAAGTCAGTGCATTCACGCTCGGTGCCGACGTGTCCTGGTTTGAGTGACAGATTGTATGGTTTTCCCAGTCAGGAGGCGTAAGTGCATGGTCAGTATTAGCTCTAATTCTGCGGGAGGGGCCGTGGGTGGGGGTTGAAGGTCATCTCTCTCATCATTACACACATCGGGACTCTCCCCAACACATCGACACACTCTCCCCGCTGCCCAGCTCCTGGCTGCCCCAACAACACTCTCCTAGGCCCCGAGGAACCCATGACCAAGTGGCCCACTGCCCAGTCAGGAGGGGTGTCCCGGATAGGCCCAGAGAGAGGCCTGCTCACTGAGGGCCCCGGGGGGCCCTGGTCCTGCTCCCGAGCCTGGAGGGCCTGTACTGCCCAGGGGCCCAGGGTGGGCATGGTGACACCCCCCACCACCACCACCCCATACCTGCTGTTCTCAAATACAGTCACCAGATCGGACACAGATGCCAGCTTCTCCTTACTCGCCCCCTCCATCCTGCAGGCCTCCAGGGTCCCCTGAGGCAGAGAGAGGCCTCCAGCCCGCACCCTCACCACCCCACCTGGGGTCACAGGTGGGCTAAGGCATCAGGCATCTGCTCCTGTCTCTCCCAAGAGCTCAGCAGGCCTGCTCCCAGCTTCAGAGTGAAGAAGGAGGAAGTGGTCCCAGAGCCACAGCCCTGAAGGGGAAAGGCCGGTGCTCCCCGCAGAGGGAGGAGTTTGCTCGGCCCCACCCCTCCCTCATGGGGGCTGAACTTTTGCTCCCGTGGACCCCCAGTTCCAGAAGCCACACAACAGGGGGGAAACGGCCAGGAGTAGTTTCTGGGGCTGTGCCCTTGGCTGGACTCTTGGCCAGAGCATCTCTAGTCAACCACACTTTCTCTGTTACAGGGCTCAGTGGATTCTACTTGGTCCTCAACAACTTCTTCTCTGCATCTGACCCTGTTCACTGCTGTGAAAACAGCTTACAAAAGTTTAAAAATAGCCCGGCCGGCGTGGTTCAGTGGTTAAGCATCAACCTATTAACCAGGAGGTCACGGTTCAATTCCCAGTCAGGCCACATGCTGGGGTTGCGGGCTCAATCCCCAGTAGGGGGTGTGCAGGAGGTGGCCAATCAATGATTCTCTCTCATCATTGGTGTTTCTATCTCGCTCTCCCTCTCCCTTCCTCTCTGAAATCAATAAAAATATATTACAAATAAGTTACAAGCCTGTGAAGGGCCGGCAGGAGGAGTATGTGGTGGCCTCCCCTCCCCACTGGGGCTCCTCCCACTGGGGGCTCTCATTTTAATGCCCAGGGGAGGGTGCCTTCCTCCCTGAAACTGCCGATGATAAGAATAGCGAACACACTCTTTGTAGTGTTACAAGTATTTTCTCATTTCATTCCATAACAGCTTGTGAAGTGGGTCCTATTACTGCCCTCATTTTACCACTCCATTTCTTTGTTGTTGTTAATCCTCACCTGAGGATATTTTTCCATTGATTTGAGTGATAGATTATATGGTTATCCCAGGAGAGAGTAGAAGGGAGGGGGAGAGCGAGAGAGAACCAGCTTCCTGCATGGACCCCAACCAGGGCCAGGGATTGAGCCTGCAACTGAAGTACGTGCCCTTGACCAGAATCGAACCCAGGACCCTCCAGCCTGTGGGCTGACGCTCTATCCACTGAGCCAACCAGAAGAAAAAAATGAGGATCAGAGAGGTTAAGTAACTTGCTCCAAGTCACCCAGGAAGAACACAAAAGAAGTCATGTTTCCAAAGCCACGGTGAACGTCCTCCAGTTCTGGCGGAGAGTTGGTCGGGAGCCTGGCTGAGCTCTGACTGCCCCACCCAGTGCTTCCCAGATCCCAGTGCGCCAGGGCGGCCCTGCCCGAAGTCTCCTCGGCCGCCTGGGCTCCCACCCCTTCCAGAGCAGCACTGCCTCCGCTCCTCGTTCTAGTCTCACAGGCCTTCCGGGCCTTCCCCCTGGGTTCTGGCCGCTGGGCCTGAGCCAGGCCCTCCGTTGAGACTGGTCTTTGTCCTGCAGTGCAGGGACTTGGCACCGAGTGCCTGGCAGCGCTCCAGGCTCCGGCGCCTGTGAACCGGGGCTCACACGCCTCAGCCTCTCTCAGAGCTTCGCCTCAGCGATTTCTGCCAGCAGGTGCCTGGCTCCTCCCCCAACCCTAAACTTCACTAACCTCCTCCCTTTTGCTTTTACTTTTTATGCACCCCATGAGCCTGTAACCCAGGCCCAGCAGCCCCCGGCTCATGGCCAGTCCTGCTCCATGTGCAGCCACATTCATTGCCCACCCCCCACCCTTACAAGCAAATCCCAGGCATCAGATGATTTTGCCCCTAAACATTTCCTGGGCACCTGGAAGAAGGACATACACACTCACTCACACTCACACTCACAGGATGGTGATGTATTCTATATATGCATGCAGACGTATGTCTTATACGTGTTACATACAGTCCACCCTGAACAATGCGGGCTTGACGGCACGGTCCACTGACACACAGATATTTTCAATTGGCCCTCGCAGATCAGCCCCGCATCATGACGCAGAGGGCCGCTTAAATCGCACTCGGACTTTTGATGGCATCGTGTGTGTATATAGGAGACCACATCCCCATTATCACCCCTAGGAGGCGTTTAGCAATCCTTCCTCAATGTAATCAACTACTCGCCAGCATTCACAGAGCCAGTTCTTCATCAACGCCACCTGCTGTGGCCTGAAATGTGTCCCCCAAGTTCACATATTTAAGTCCTCACCCCCGATGTGGCTGGGTTTGGAAACAGGGCCTTTGGGAGTTAGTTCAGGTTAAATGAGGTCAAAAGAGTGGGGCTCAAATCTGATCGGACTGGTGGCCTTGTAAGAAGAGGAAGCGATCTCTCTCACCCCCCCCCCCCCCAGCCCCTGGCCCCCTGCCCAGGAAAGGCCACGTGAGGACAGGTGGCCGAGGACAAGCAGGAAGAGACCCCTCCCCCGGAATCGAGCCCGGCAGACCTTGAACTGGACGTCACACCTCCAGCACTGTGAGAAATAAGTGCTGTTGTCTTTAAGCTTCCCCATCCGCCGTATTTTGTTATGGCAGCCTGAGCAGAGTAACTCATCATCATTTTAAAAAAATCAGGATCCATGCCCTAACCCAGTGGTTCTCAACCTTCCTAATGCCACAACCCTTTAATACAGTTCCTCATGTTGTGGTGACCCCCAACCATAAAATTATTTTCGTTGCTACTTCATAGCTGTAATTTTGCTACTGTTATGAATCATAATGTAAATATCTGATATGCAGGATGTATTTTCATTATTACAAATTGAACATAAAGCATAGTGATTAATCACAAAAACAATATGTAATTATATATGTTTTCTGATGGTCTTAGGCGACCCCTGTGAAAGGGTCATTTGACCCCCAAAGGGGTCACGACCCACAGGTTGAGAACCGCTGCCCTAACCGGTTTGTCTCAGTGGATAGCACATCGGCCTGCGGACTCAAGGGTCCCAGGTTTGAATCCGGTCAAGGGCATGTACCTATTGCGGGCATATACCCAGTAGGGAGTGTGCAGGAGGCAGCTGATTGATGTTTCTAACTCTCTATCCCTCTCCCTTCCTCTCTGTAAAAAATCAATAAAATATATATATTTTTTTAAAAATCAGGACCCAAATAAGGCCCCCCTGGCACAGCGAGCTGTCCTGCCTGCTAGCTGTCCTGTCATCCACGGGCTCCGTTCCCTGCACAGTGCAGCTCAGAGGACCCTGGGTGCTGGCCTGACAGGCCCCTCAGACAGCGCGATGCCAGTGCCGGTCCCTGATTTCCTGTTCATGATGGTTAGATTGAGGGCCTTGACCAGACTCATACTCAAATGCCACTTCTTCCTGGACGCCTCCCAGGGCTTGGGGAGGCCTCCTTTCTGGGTGCTCCTCTCCCCTCGCCTGCAGTGCCCGGTTCCTCTTCCGCCTCCAGCAGACTGCACCCTGACTCCCTGCAGGCAGGACCAGAGCACACGGACTCGCGGCTGGTGCCCAGCCCAGCCCAGTGGTCCGCACACAGTAGGGCCTCAGAAGGCATGTGGAATGGACAGATGTGCCACCTGAGCCCAGAGCTGATTGCATACTTAGCATCCAGTGCTGGGCTTCCAGAGTAGAGGCTGGGCCTAAACAGCAGGACCTGCCCCTCACGCGGAGGCAGGGGAGTGGGTAGAGGTCCCTGCAGGAGGCCACCTAATTGAATATAACACGGGCACCGTCAAAGCCGCATCTGCCCAGGAAGGAGGGCCAAGATGCCCACGTCCCCAAACAACCTTCCGGGGCTCTGCCCCCCGCCCACCCCCACCTCCCTGCCCTTGGCCCCTCACAATTTGGCAGCCTTTCTGCCTGATTTGTGTCTCATCTGCAGGCATCACCCGAGGCTCAGCCCCAGCCCCTGGTCTCCCTCACACACACCCAGCGCCACCCAATTCAGAATCTAGCCCAGGTTCCTGTCCTGCCCCCGCCTGACTATCCCAACACCTTCAGGACATCGCCCGGGACAGGTCCCACCTTCACTTCCATCTCACACGCGGTCTCTCAAACCAGCCCATGGTCCCAGGAAAGCTTCCCAAGATCCCAGTCTGGCTCTGACCCACCCTCCCAGCCATTCCTTCCTCACCCCGGCCCTGGGGCTGGGTGGTGACCTTAAGTGGTGGCTCTGTGCTGTGTCAGCTGAGCTAAGCTGAACCACAGTTCCTGACTCGGCGTTCCCACAAGTTGGCTGACACATTGATCTTTAGAGAGAGAGTGGAAGGGAGGTTGGCAGGGGAGAGAGAGAAACATTGGTATGAGAGACACATCACACGCAGGGATCGAACCGGCACCTAGGTATGTGTCCTTGCCCAGGAATCGAACCCGCGACCCTTCAGTCTGGGGCGCTGATGCTCTGACCACTGAGAAAACCAACCAGGACATCATCAGCATCAATTCTTTAAGGAGCTTCCCCGCTGTAAAGTCAAATCCCACTTTCTGTCTCCCTCTGGCTGCTCTGTCCCTCCCATCGAATCTGACCTATAGGCCTTGCACAGTAACTGAACGTCACTTTCCCTGTCTGTGAAATGGGGGTGATCGCAGTGCCAGCCTCCTGTGGTGCTGACGATTCGATGAGTAATGACGTCTGTAAGGACTTAGAGTGAGGCGCTCAGTGAACGTTGGCTACAAACGTTCCTATTCCTGTCAGAGGACCTTTCCTCCCTGCGCCGTGACCAATCCGTTCTTTACACGGTCAGCAGCCTAGTCATTTCCCCAGGGGGCCTTCTTGATATCTACCACTGAATGCCTTTCCTTCCTCAGAGACCTGGTGTTCCCTTTTGCTTGTTTTTTTTTTAAATGTTTTTATTGATTTTAGAGAGACAGGAAAGAAGCCCCAGCTGGTTTGACTCAGTGGATAGAGCGCCGGCCTGTGGACCAAAGGATCCCAGGTTCAATTCCAGTCAAGGGCACATAACCTTGGTTGCAGGCTCCTCCCCAGCCCAGACCCTGGTTGGGGTTGGTACAGGAGGCAACAAATCGATGTGTTTCTCTCACATCGATGTTTCTATCTGTCTTTCCCTCTCTCTTCCATTCTCCCTAAAAATCGATGGAAAAAAGGGTGAGGATTAACAAAAAAAGAGAGAGAGACAGGGAAGGAGAGGGAGAGAGAGAA